GCCGGGAACTGCCGCCTGTTAGTTGTAAGTGCACGCAATGGGGTATTACGGTAGTACCGAAAATCCGCTGCAGCGTTGCATAATCCCCGTTTAGGAGCCCCTTCTGCCAGGACTCTGCTATGAATTCATCTGCCCTGATCCGAACATCTTCTGGAACCTCCACACACAAAAAAATGGCAACATGTCAACTACATGGCCACTCGTCAAACAGTGCATCCTGCAGCCCGCATGCCTTCTTGATTCTTCCGAAAGCTATTCCAAATGGATGTATGCTGCATCTGCATCAAGAAAATGGGCCTGACCGTAGGACTCTATCAGACGACCGTGCTCAGCAAGGAAGGCCAGCGCAAGCGATGTCCCCAAGCACTCCTCACCTCACAAAATGCCCCTGTACAGCTGGCAATGTGAGAGTGCCTCTACCTCTACCACCATGTCATACTGGCCATGTTACATCTTGACTGATCTCGCACGGAGAAAGTTTGTGTCACATATTGCCATCGCTAGTAGGTCGGAGGCCATCGCTAGTAGGTTGGAGGCCATCGCTAGTAGGTTGGAGGGTTGGAGGCCGTCGCTAGTAGTGAGCATTGTTTTTGACACGTTGTGCCCTGAGCCTTCCAAAGTTGTCGCAGGATGGTATTTGGTTGCCCCCTGAATGAAAACACATAGTACACGGCTTGGAGCTTGTTGACTTTCCAGTTTGACCTATTTCACCACGTGTGGTTCGAGCTGTGTCTAAGGCCTAAGGCATGTGATGGCTTATTTACGTCTACAGTACGAAGATACTTAGAATAAAACCGACCCAAAAAGCTGATAATGGGCAGGCAAATAAACGGGTCGATGCACGTAAAGTTGTTTCACTTGAAAGCCAATGCTACTCGTCACCTTGTGCAAGCCATGCACCAAAGGAGCATTTCTGTCACATATCAAATGCAGCGCAAACAATCCAACACAATCAAGAAGCAGTGCAAAAATAGTATGCGATTCCAGTTTGCATGCCCTTCCACGCAGGTATGAAAACCCGTTTGCCGTCCTATATGTATATAAAACACATGTGCTATTACAAACATGTCTCCAGCTCAATGACAATCAATGTCTGCGAGCTGGTGCAGCAAAGTTGCTCTGTTGCAACTTTGCAGCCTGCTCTTTCACGGCCTTGGCTGTACACAACTGCAAACAATTCAAGGCGCTCATGACAGGCCAACGAAAGCAAAATGGCTACACAATCCTGGAAGCCCCTGAGACATCATCACAACCACTATTAAGATCAACATCCAAGCGTGACGAAAGTCTTATCTTGCTGACTTGCGTAATAAGGATAGAACATCTGACTCTCAGAGTTGCGCGAATTCACGCAAGTGGCAGGCCTTCCGGCCTTCCTCCCAATTATGTATATTCTGAGACCGCAGGCAAGCCACATATTCTTCATGCTCCGACGGCAACCATCTTCGCAAGATCCGTCGCTGCTTCCACCGGAGCATCTGCAGGAAGAATTGCTGAACACCTTGGTATCCAAACTGCACACATCTTCAATACCTCCCATGCCTTGCGATTCATCCTTGACCCAGCTATTTACGTGCTTCCAAAACGCGTCGGCCAACAGTAAGGAGCAATGCATCTTGTCTGCGCATTAGATTTGGAAGCTGCAAATTGTCGATTGGAGATTCACCGGAAGCCTGTTTCATCCTGAAATGATGTTCAGACTTGCACCCCCCAAAAAAAACTCTCCAACAGTAGCAGTCACCGCCCCTGCCTCCCGACAAGCGCCAATGACTGGGATGACGATGGTTTCGCTCCACTGTACAGTCTTGCACGTGCCTCAGAACACCAGAGTGTCCTTCCTAGCAGAACTCTACCTGCTGAAGGCTACACCCTGCCTTTCCATCTAAAACTCGCACGAATCCGTCTTCTGAGCGCTGCCTCGGCTACGAGTAGAAGCCGCTGCGCACAATTGAGGCCCCTCACCCTCGGGTCAACACGTGCATTCTGCATGACACCAATGTTTCTGAGCTGCCGTGGGATTTCATGAAACAAATAGCGGCTGTGACCTGCAAATGAGTCAAGCTGGCAAACAAGCCATGCGCAAGGTCACAACTGAGCACGAGAAGTGAGGAAAAGTGGACACCCACGCAGTTCTACACCCAGGGGCCATCTCGCTCCGCCATTTTCATGAACATTTCGTAGATGTAGCTGCAGTTTGCCTGCGAATGATCGGTCTATATAAGAAGGGGTCACAGCAGTAGCAAGTTCAGCCAGGATACGCGCCCATGCCACTCTCTCGTGAGAGCTTGGCATCTTTCCACCAAAGATTGAAGAACGCAGTGGGATGGCATGATTTCGTGGGGTGAAAATCCACGGGACGAACCTCAGTGGAGTCAGTGGAACATTAATCATGAAATTGGTAGTATGATGCCAACACAATCCCAAACGCAACCCCCAACACCAAGAAAGATTCTCTCAGTAAGAATGAACCAGTTGGTTCACCTTTTTTCTTTTTGTTCGGCGGTGCAAGGGACGGGTTTTGTCTGAGCATGTCATTTGGGAAAAGGCGCCGACCTGCAGGGTTCTAAAACCTATTCCTGGAACATCCTGCAACCGAAAGCTGCACTCCGGACTCCGTAAAATACAATGGAAGGGCATCACTTCCTGCGGCCGTTTTCAAGATGTTCTTGTTGCTTCCGGTCCCTGACCGTGCCGGTGCTCTCTAAAAGGCTATCCTGGCTGAAGACCCAAATAGCGCAGGCTGTTGGGCCAAACCACCACACCACCAAGAGCGAAATACGAGAGTTGGTCAAAGTCCCTCCCATAATTCTTGGCGAGGAGCGTGCTTCCGTACGATGGAGAAGGGATTGAACCTCTTCTCGGAAGGGGTCCTTGAAATAGCAATCGCTTTGGGATCTGGGCCAGGCGAACAGAACATGAGGTGGTATGAAGCGCAGTTCCACTTAATCTGGCAAGCCACCCAGCGCTCTCTTATGAAGTCAGACCGGCATCGCGCAGTTCGGCATTTGATGGGGTACTCAGCCAAGCCTCGTCACGGGTGACGAAGCACACGTGACTGGACAAATACCCATGTGCTTTATGCAGCTGAGCAGCTGGGCGGCGGCTGGAAAAGCCACTCGATGAATTTGCTGTAGTCCACATCAGCATCTGTGGGCAAAATGTCGCTCACACTACGATCTGAATATCTTCGCACGACGTCTGATCTCATGTTCTCGCAGACTCGCCTTGAGAAACACCAAAACCATCTGCTAAAGCTTCCAGCCGCTTCTTCGTCCATGAAGCGTCCAACCGATGCAAGACCTTGGACAAGACATGCGGCCCTTGCTGCTGGCGCAAAGGCACCGGTGCTCCGTTCAACACGCACCTTGAACAAGACCTGCTTGGAGATCTGGCCGGGCTTTGTGCTGAACTCCTCACAGGTACAGCACGTTACTGCACAAACACTTCTGCTGGCAGAAAATGGCAAACGACGAGGGCACAGCATGCTGCGGGCTCAGGTTCTGACCTCAAAAGTGTCAGCGAAGTCTTCCACGATCATGCTCTCGATGGACCTGGCCTTGAGTTTCTGTCACATCCATTTCTGCTACGGCATGTTTGGGCAACTGTGGCAGCACGTCAGGGTCGACTTTAGAGCAATACATTGAACCTTCAGTGGTGCCTATCCGAGCACTGCAACGGACACAAATGCTCGTAGAGGAGTTTGCATGAGTTTGCTGGGTCCACTCTGCACCACTTCAGCAAGCAAAGTGGATAAAATGATACGATGGATCTTTCATCTCGGTGTGGCGCTCCCTTTGGGAGAAGTTATAGTTATACGTCCATCTTGGATGGAAAACTCACATGAGCTACATAGCTAAAGGATGCTAAAGGAACGACTGAAACAGCATCTCAACCGTTCGCTGTGCAATAGGCAGTGATCCTGGCTTCCGGTTGAAGTCATACCTCCCCAAGCAGCAATGGTTTCGAGTAACGCTGAGTGGCTAGGTATTACAAAAATTGGTGCTCCTTGCCACTTTAGGCGAGCTGCAGTCGAGTGAGCAAAGGCTTCCCCTCTAAGCATCTTCGCCAATAGTCCGCTGAAGCAGCCAATAAATTTCCTGCTCATATCTGCTCATGCTATAGTGCGCAAACATTTTCTGTCAAAGCTAAATCTGTTTCGCTCTCCTTTGCCATGGGAGCAGTCTACTGTAGCCACTGGGAGGCCAATCTTTGTGACCGTTTCGCCAGATTCGGGATTCAGAAAATCAAAATCCAGACCTCACAGACCGAGCAAAAAGAACAGCACAGCGCAGAACCACATGACAAGCTGGGCCCCATGCCCAAGCAGCCGCAACCTTGAGGTACTTTGATCTTCTGCATGCAAGCAAGAGGTGCAAGATTAAGATAATATTCTCCAGCCTCCTCGGAAATGGATTTTCCAACAGATCTCGTTCCGTCACAGGTGACTACTCACCACAACCCTGCCGTGTCGAACAAGCGGCAGAAGCATGGCAAGTGCAGTTAAAGTCCACTGCACGGCCGAAGGCTTTCAAGTATTCCAGCCGAAGCTGAACAAAGAACTCCAGAAGTGGCTGTGCATCCGGTCTCCTGTCGCACGCGCAACGGAACTAGACTCACATGACTTGTTGTCGGTTGTTCTTTAACTATTTTCTGGGACCCAGCCTTTTCCCTCACTTCCTTTCTTTGTTCTCTGTCTGTCTTGGGGTCGCATGGATAGAAACAACCAAAGGAAAAATATCCTAAGCAAAGGCACACTATGGTGGCTTCCTTTGATATGCAAATAGGCTTCCGTTTATGCATGAGCTGCAAGCACCCAACCCCAAGCCAAAGCCCCAGAGCGCGAATCAACACCAAAATCATCCTGGAAAATCAAATCAGCCTGGCGAACGAATGCCTTCTCGAAGGCATCCAGTTGCGAACACATGGTCACCCACTCGCTTGCAGTACGCTCTTGCTACATGTTCATGCGGAAAAAAGACTCGAGTCCGTGTCAAAGAGTCCTGGTGCGAGCACTCACGAAGAAGGCATCTTGACTTGTTCCTACCTGAGGGCAAAGTGGGCGAGTTGGACAAAAAATGTCCGAGCAGCTCGGCACCTGGCCTGCACGATATCTATATAAGCCGCTAACTTTTCGCACCAGCGAGGGGACTGCTGCTGCATCATAAGTGGGAAATCCTCCACAGAAGCCTCCAGTACAACTGCAAGGCCCTGTGCAACTCCCAAAACGTGTATTAAAATGTCCTCTTTTGGGCGCCTTTGATACCTGCGTGTGCTGCGTCTTGCCAATGGAAGACGCAATGATGGGATTTTGCCCAGCATCATGGAGAACCTCACCTGGCGCTAAAAACGAGGCGTGCCGAGGCGTGTTCACAGTTTCCCCCGCCTGGCAGCGCATCTGCAGTACCATCTGGACATAGCAATACGCAGTCTTGAACTATTTTCTCCTGATCTCCAGCTACAATTTGCTTGCTTACGACATGTTTCACTGCGAGGCACCACCATGAACAGCCAGAAAAGCCATATACAAATAGGCTACGGCTACGGACTCTTGCCCCTTCGGTACCAAGACTCGATATCCGTCACAAAGTGGTTTGGAAGCTTGGCTGCATCGTCCACGCCTCGGCTCGTGTGCAAACATGTGTTTGCAACGCACACAGTGTTGTCGGAAACCAAGATGCACAAAAGTGAGCCAAGCTCATACATGAGGGAACCAGGAGGCCAGCGGCTGTCTACCCAGCCTGACGCGAAGAAACTAAACTAAGGTTCCCGCAGGTTGAAAAGCACATACCCGGTGAACAATGGTAAGGAGGGTTTGCGCTGTCCAGGCTTGCATACCTATAAAATACAAAACCACTTAACACCTTAAAATGCTACGTCCAGCCTCAAGGGTGAAAAAAAAAAGTTCCAGAAAAACTGTTTATAAAATGGTTAGATTGAGGTCAACTATGCATATACTACTGTAAACACTTGCACCTATAAAATGACAATCCAGCTGACCTCCAGCAATGTAAGCTGAAAGCAAAATGTAATATAGAATAGAATGAGATTCCACCAAAAGGTAGCAAGAACACCAGAAGGTAGCAAGAATGAGCCACCACCCCCTGGTGTCTATAAAATTCCTTGTCCAAGCCTTTTTGGTGGAGCCAGCCCACAACAAGTCTATGAATATGGTGGCAAGGCATTTTATAGAAGCTGCAACCCCCAGATATCGCCAGATCCACCCTCTGACCTTACCCACCCCAACCTAGCTAGAAAGATCTCAACATCACCTACCGCTTCCAACCTCCTCCTCTATAAAATGCCATTCTGGCAGCACTTCCATCAAGATTCACTGAACATCATATAAAATGACATTCCAGCAAGGCATCTTCAAATTGTGCCGCGCATTTTTTCACTATGAAATGCAAATCCACTTCATCAACATATTTTCCCACTCTACCTGAATGTCTCTATGAAATGCTTTTCCACATGTTTCATCTTCAACTATCATCTATTCATAGTTCATCATATTTATGTTCATAACCTTCTAACTTGCCATGTCCATGGTTCTGTTACTCCTAACCAGGGCACCCTCACTATAAAATGGATCCTGGAACTGCATTTTATACACGTCAACCCTCCCCATTTTATAGACACTCATTCACCGGGGATAAAAGCACTACAAATTATTACACCAGCATAGACCCAGATAGCTAGGCAGAATCCCACGACTGTTGACATGCGACTGGCTGGAACAAGAATGTACGCAGCCTGCGCCGCCAGCTTACGGCAGCTCCACAGCTAGCACCCGACCAGCGCAGCCGCCCGTCTTAAACGCGCTTTCAGCCAGCTCACAGCACCAGCACCCAGGACCACAACACCAGCACCAGCACCGACACCCTTTTGAAAGCGCGCGCAACCAGCTCATTCTTGTTTGCAGCAAGAACCCCAATAGCTATCCCTATTAGGGGAATAACAACGTATGATCTTGCGCGTATAAGCGACAACACCGTATGATGTTGCGCATGACTGCTGGCACTTCATTGTCAGAAGCGACGCTTGGTCGCCCTTCACTGCTGCAAGCCGCGGTTTGTTACCCTTCACTGTCAGAAGCGGCGGTTTGTTACCCTTCACTGTCAGAAGCGGCGGTTGTTATCACTTCACTGTCAGAAGCGGGCACCAGCACCGAGCTCCGGCACGCCAGCTCACGGCGCCCAGCTCACGGCGCCCAGCACCAGCACCCAGCACCGGTATACCCAGCACCCGGCCCTGTCTCCACCACGCGCACAGCCAGCACCCAGCACCGGCGCCCAGTCTCCAGCACCAGCAACCTGTCTCCACCACGTGCACAGCCAGCTCACAGCACCAGCACCGGCACCCGGCACCAGCACCGGCACCCGGCACCAGCACCAGCAACCTGTCTCCACCACATGCACAGCCAGCTCACAGCACCAGCACCAGCACCAACCGGCACCCGGCACCAGCACCAGCACCAGCAACCAGCCTCCACCACGTGCACAGCAGCTCACAGCACCAGCACCGGCGCCCGGCACCCGGCACCCAGCACCAGCACCGGCACCCGGCACCAGCACCAGCAACCTGCCTCCACCACGTGCACAGCCAGCTCACAGCACCCAGCACCAGCACCAGCACCGGCACCCAGCACCAGCAACCTGTCTCGAAAGCGCGCGCGGGCAGCTCATTGTTATTTGAAGTAAGAACTCCATAGCTTCGCAATCTGGTGAATAATAGCTTCCAACCTAGAAGCAATGGCCTCCAACCTACTAGCGATGGCCTCCAACATGATAGTTGTCATTTTGCAGTTTGACAATGTTGCAGTTTAAGAGTCTTTGATGTCGTGTAGCAGAAACCATTGCCAAGATCTTCGGGCGGGGTTGTACAGGGTGTTGCCTGTGAAAAATGGAGGGGGGTTCATTCAGTGGATGAAAGGTTGCGGCGCTTCGGCACGGCGGCCAAACTATTTTGATGGTGCGACACAAACATCATTGATTGATCCCTTCCATATTCTGACAGACATGTCTACAGGCTTCTTCCATACGTTTTTTGACAATTTTGTCTCAGCAATCACTGCCAGCGCCAGGCCGCAATGAGCTGTTTCAACTTCATGGTCCATAGGCGAGCCTCCTCCACTTTGCCCAAGGCCGTGGGACTCAGCGTAGGCAAAAATGTTCTTTCGGAAGCGAGTGCACTCCTCATCACCTGCAGAGTTGGACGGCCGGACCTTTAACTATGCGTGATTTTGACGCCACATCGACCGACACCGCCTGCATTGCGCAGGATCGAAAACTTTGAGCCCTCCAGAGAATACAGTGGCACCTTGCGTGTCCAAGTCGCCTAAGGGAGGGAAAAAGAAATCATCAATGCCAATGTCACTGCGCTCTTTCGCGACTGGGCGGAATTCCATCCAAGGCTCTACTATGTAGCGGTGCTGAGTGAAGGTCTCAATATCAGAGCGCCAAAACACTCGGACTTCAGGGCTGCGTAGCGCTTTCAAGAGCAGGAGCTTGTGCTCCACCCGGTTGTCCTCGCAACAACATCCATTCTCCGCAGGACAAAGTGCGTGCCGAAGCAGTTCCTGCCTTGTAGGGACGTCCAGGGTGTTCTTGGCAATGCTGCACAAAGTCTACAAGTTCCTGCTCCAGTGCCATTTGCGGACGCTGCAGGCATTCCTGACAAATCTCCCAAGTGAAAAATAGGAATGAACACAAAATCTGTCTGAGCTCTGCAAGGCTCTTGCATACGCGAGGGCCGGGAACTGTCGCCTGTTAGTTGTGATTGCGCGAAATTGGGTATTACGGTAGTACCGAAAATCCGCTGCAGCGTTGCATAATCCCCGTTTAGGAGCCCCTTCTGCCAGGACTCTGCTATGAATTCATCTGCCCTGATCCGAACATCTTCTGGAACCTCCACACAAAAAAATGGCAACATGTCAACTACATGGCCACACGTCAAACAGTGCGTCCTGCAGCACGCATGCCTTCTTGATTCTTCCGAAAGCTATTCCAAATGAATGTATGCTGCATCTGCATCAAGAAAATGGGCCTGACCGTAGGACTCTATCAGCCGACCGTGCTCAGCAAGGAAGGCCAGCGCAAGCGATGTCCCCAACCACTCCTCACCTCACAAAATTTACTGTGTGTGACAGTGCCTCTACTCCACCACTCCCACACTGGAGTCCTTTGAATACATCCTGCAATGATGTGCAGTCGGCGGTCGGTGTGGTGTATGGAATGAAGGGCGAACCTTGCACCTGCGACCTGGAAACAAAACCTTGAAGGCGACGCAAGTCGTTTTTCGCTTTGTTTTGAGCTCTGGAGATCTTTAACTTACCTGAACCTGGAAATGAGTCACAGTCCTGCACGCACGTCGTCAACCTGTCGCGTGATCGTCGATGCTATTGGTTTGGTCTACCTGTACCCTTAGGAAATGGTAACCTAGGCCGGCGTGTGGCACCGCTGTCAAGTCAGTATGCATTTCCATAAGTGTGTTTGGCCTCGTGCCAACCCGGGATGAGCCCGTAGAGTGCCTCCCGTGGACCCGTCGAACCGGGGTTTGTTGTTATCTCCCCTGATGTAAGTGTCCGGAGCGGACAGCAGATGGCTTATGCCACAAGAAGTGGGATGTTTGTCTCATTTTTGGAATTCCAAGTTGGCTCATGCCTTTACGTGACCGCAGCGGTCAGAGGTGGCCGCCCTCGGGCATGCCGTACGTGGTCGCAGCGACCGAAGTTTGTTCAAGGTTCATTGGAACCTGTCGCGAGCTTAGTCCCCCCTCCTTCCCCTTCCCTCCCCTTTCTTTCCTTGCTTTTTGGTGTTTTCCTGAATGGAAGACTCAGGATCGCCCCTTTCTTTCTTTGGTGTGACCCTGGACGATTGTTCGTAGCTGGGAACACCTGCCTTTTCCTTTTCTCTCCTCTCCCTTTCTCTCCCTCTCTCTTTCTTTCTTTCTCTCTTTCCTCTCCACCTTCCTTCCTCCTTGGGTGTCCCTGGATGCTTTGTCATAGCTGGGAACCCTTCTCCGCTCCTCCTTTGGTGTGTCCTTGGACGCATGCGTCGTAGCTGGGAACACCTTCCTTTCTTCTCTTTCCATTTTCTCGTCTCTCCCTACCCCTCCCTCCTGTCGGGACCTTAGCTTGGGTTGCTACTAGGGGCTCCTGGCCTTCCTACTATAGGTGCTAGGACGCTACTTTGACGCTACTAGAGGTTCCTGGCCTTGCTACTACTTTGTCGATACGCCTCCCCTCGGGGAGGCGTGTGTGTGTGTGTGCCCCTTGTAGTCACAGGGATTCAGTTGAATTGTTTCTTCAGCAGGGGGGCCAGGACTCCCTGGCGCGCGTCCTGGCCAACGAAGACCGCGCGCCAGGGAGGTAAAAACGTACCTGCTATTGTTAAACTGTTGATTGGTTGCTGTGGTCCCTTGGTTTGTTTCATGGTGGTTCATGTACCTGATGTTGTTCCAGGAGGTGTTTAGGTTTTCAGGTACTTCATAAAGGGCTAATGCACGTTTCGCCGTCATCCTGTCGCTCGTCCGTTTTTCGTTTTGAGCTCTCCTGAACCTGGAGATGGGTCACAGTCCTGCACGCACGTCGTCAACCTGTCGCGTGATCGTCGATGCTATCGGTTTGGTCTACCTGTACCCTTAGGAAATGGTAACCTAGGCCGGCGTGTGGCACCGCTGTCAAGCCAGTACGCATTTCCATAAGTGTGTCAACCCCTGTGCCAAGGGCTCCACCTCGCTGTTTGTTTTTGAGCGCTTTTTCAGCAGGGGGGCAAGGCCTCCAGCGATGAACCTTGTCCAACGAAGCTAAATCGCTGGAAGGGAAGCGAACGGAAACGTCCATTCGTGTACCTGCAACCGGAACGGTTGATCAAGCTGTGACCCTACTTTTCCACGTTTTGTTTCATGGTGGTTCGCATGATACTTCCCTTAAACCTTTCCCACCGCAGACTTGCAGCAGACTTGCAGCCGCGCTGAGTGTCCGGTCGTTTTCGAGCGCCATTGCAAACAAGGTTAAACTATACCGTTTTCGCTGACCCTTTCACCTTGCGGTTCTTCACCTTCCTTCTCGACTTGGGAACTGAGCTAACTTAAGCCAATGTCAGAGTGTGTAGTTTCAAAAACGTCCTGTCGCAAAATATGCAGCTACGCCTCCAAATTCGTGCGGCAAAGTTGCTCCGCTGCAGTTTTGCAGCGCCCTCTTTCACCACCTTGGCTCAACGGTGGCCAACCCGCATCTTTTTGAAAGCTTGAAGCGAAGCGTTTCGCTCAAGAAAAACTATCTGACCGCACGAGTGCAGAAACTTGGGTTATAAGTTATGAGCCCAAAGTGACGCGGCGTGGCTGTGTTTGTTCAGGAGCGACGAGTCCTATCGCAGGTCAAGATCCTCGACCTCGAACTCCTCAACTCAACGGTTTTCACCGTGCCCCCTTTCCAATGCGAACGCAGCTGCGGCAACTGGACTCAACCGCCGAAGGGAAGCGTGGACACACTGAAGGCGCACGGGGTCCCTTTGGTCCGTTGGGGTCTACTATCATCTAGTCTGTTTGGGCCGAGCGGTGCACGGTGTACGAGGAGGGTGGGGTGGTCGGGGGACAAGTTGACGGGTAGCGTGTGGCGGTTGGATCCACGCCTTGCAGGTTGCGAGGAGGACTGCACAATGGATCTCCGATGAATCCTTGGTCGCAAAGAAGTTGAGGTCGCAACAAACCACGCCGCAAGCCCAGGTGGATCCTAGAGCTGTTCAGGATTAAGCGCAGCTTCAACTACAGAAATGGCATGGGTTGCGAAGGAGGCCGAAGACCCAGGAGCTCAAGACCCAGCTGGATGCGTTTCCCTTCGAACCACAAGTGTGGAAGTGAGCTCTTCGGCCAGGGGTAATGGTGGACCATGACTGCGAAGGGCGTTGAGGAGACATACACCCAACCCTTGCCTTCGGATTCGGATCCTCTACAACGACTTCGGACATGCAACTTTGTTGTCCTCACTGCCCGTACGCCAGCCGACGAACACGCTCTTGAACACGGTCGCGCATACGTAGTTTGGATACGTTTGGATGTCCAAGCTGGTAGTTAGCTGTGCCGGGTCCGCCAGTGCCGGGCGTTCAGGGAGCTGTTCTCCAGAGTCAGTCGCTGGTCCTCAACATGTCTCCTCCTCAAGCTCCATTTGCACCTTGGTGATCCATCACGCCCATTGGACGACGCCATCAAGGCCTCCTGCTCCAAGGCTTGGATCTCGTCATTAACTCCATTGCGCCGCCGCATGCACGGCTGGATGTGCACGGTGTCGCGTGCCATGCTACTTGGCGCCCTCAATCGGTGGAGGTGGCCAACGTGACCCCAGGAGGTTCATACTTATGCCTGTTCACTATCTCACGGAGCGATGGCTTCCACCCTTCGACAGTGGAGGAGATGGTGGAAGTGGATGGAGCTTGCTGACAGGTGGTTCACGTTGGTGAGGCTGTCAAACCGAACAAGGACAAGCCATTGCGGCGAACAGACCGGGTTCGATCCGGAGCACGGATCGACATCCTCTGCGCTGGAGTTGGGGCAGGTGCGCACAACAATCTTCTGGAAGAACCCCAGCAGCATGAGGTCTGCTTAGATTTTGATTGGAGAAGGGAAACCATTCCCACACCAGGAGAATGGTCCGGCTTTTCATGTTTCCTTCGATCTTTTGCAAGCTTGAAGCAAGGCTTGAAACAACACATTTGGCTGAAGAAAAACAATCCGACTGCAGGAGCGCAGAACCTTGGAATCAAATGGCTTGGCCATAACAGAATCAACTAGGCTCAACACGCAAACGAAGCCGGAGAAACTACACCGGGTTTGCATCGGAAACCTCACAATGCGTATGCGGTCGCTCGGTCGCTCGGTCGCTCAGTCGCTCGGTCGCTCGGTCGCTCGGTCGCTCGTGCGAGACTTGACTAAAACAAGGAGTCATTTTATGGGCGACAAAGACTTCCCATCAAAGCCTGGCTGCGTCACAGAACTTCGATTTGTGTAAGAAATTATGGAAACCCCTGTAGCCGTCCGGGGGGCCAAAGCCTGACTCACAGAGTTGCGCGAGTTCACGCAAGTAGCAAGTTCCTTCCTAATTATATCCTGCTCACTGCATGCAAGCCACATATTCTTCATGCTCCGACGGGAACCATCTTCGCAAGATCCGTCGCTGCTTCCACCGGAGCATCTGCAGGAAGAATTGCTGAACACCTTGATATCCAAACTGCACACATCTTCAATACCTCCCACTTGCAATTCGTCCTTAACCCAGCTACTTGCTTCCAAAACGCGTCGGCCAACAGTAAGGAGCAATGCATCTTGTCTGCGCATTAGATTTGGAAGCTGCAAGTTGTCGATGGGAGATTCACCCGAAAGCTGTTTCATCCTGACATGATGATCTTCAGACTTCCACAAGACACTCTCCGACAGTCAGTCCACCCGTGCCTCCCCACAAGCGCCAATGATGGGGATGACGCTGGCTTGGCTCTACTGTAGAGTCGCGCACGAGCCTTCCAAAATGAAAAACGATCAACCAAACCCTCTGGGGAATGCCAAAGAACAAAGGAGGCAAGCGGCTTCTGCATCCAGAACTCGTACAAAACCGTCTGTCGACCGTTGCCTCGGCAAAGGGACTTGGCCGGGTCTCAGACTACATTGAAGGATGGTTTAACAGGAAAAAACAAACTTGCAAATGTCCGCCATCAAGTACTTTGGTCGAGGGTCCTTCTGTATTGAAACAACATTGAAGGACGGAAAAATTGCCGGGAGGCAAAGCATCTTTCAGTGATCAACTGGCTGGTTTTGTCTGTTTCCTCAATGTGTTGGCAAGTTGCTGCGGGATGTCCCGGAAAAGGTAGTGGCTTTGTCCTCGGCAACAACCCTCAATATTCTCATCGCCCTCGCATGGCCACTTTCTCAATTCAATTCACAACCAGACCTGCAATTGAGCGGCCATCTCGCTCCGCCATTCTCATGAACATTTCAAAAATGTAGCTGCAGTTCGCCTCATAGCTGGGCGACGGTGGTACGCGAAACGACTTTTCAGCTGCGCCGCGTGGGCCATAATTGTTCATGGGGAAACCTGCCAAGAAATGAAGTTCTGAATCTTCTTCAGGAACGTGAAAGCCCAAGCAAGCTAAACCCCTGTTACACCAGCACCAAGTTCAGCCAGGATACGCGCCCATGCCACTCTCTCGTGAGAGCTTGGCATCTTTCCACCAAAGATTGAAGAACACAGTGGGGTGGCATGATTTCGTGGGGTGAAAATCCACGGGACGAACCTCAGTCGAGTCAGTGGAACATTAATCATGAAATTGGTAGTATGATGCCAACACAATCCCAAACGCAACCCCCAACACCAAGAAAGATTCTCTCAGTAAGAATGAACCAGTTGGTTCACCTTTTTTCTTTTTGTTCGGCGGTGCAAGGGACGGGTTTTGTCTGAGCATGTCATTTGGGAAAAGGCGCCGACCTGCGGGGCTCTAAAACCTATTCCTGGAACATCCTGCAACCGAAAGCTGCACTCCGGACTCCGTTAAACACAATGGAAGGGCACCACTTCCTGCGGCCGTTTTCAAGATGTTCTTGTTCCCGATGAATAAAGGGGTCACGCTGCTTCGACCTTTCTGAGCCACTGTGCGATTTGTACATGTCAGAATCATGCTTGCGCAGGCGTCAAACATACTACTCGCATCGTGAATCTTGCCTTTACAGCAGTCCATTTTGGACAAAAGCTGCCAACCTTCCAAACTGAGATCATGAATCTTCTGAGCTAACCCGACGAGATAGCCCACCCATTCCCCTGAGTCGCTGACTTCGTTAAGACCTGGGTTCAAACAGCGCCGCCTCCGGGTTCAAGGGGTCTCACATTCAAATTCAACTTCATAATCTTCCATCACTGCGTCAGCTTCAGCCGTTCTTGAACTTGATCCAGCTGCCATGTCCATGGTCATCAAAGAACTCAAGCGTTGCTCCACTTTCTTGTCACCTGACAACGTGCGCACACATGCACCAAATGCCAGGATGGTCTCTCCGCATTTGAACAGATCATCCTGAAGCGCATCACTCGAAGCTTTTTGGCGTACTCCTTGTCGTCATCATCTTGCTCTGCTCCACATCGTTGATGTTCATCTTCTTCTCGCTCCACTCTTCTCACAAGGCCACCTGCCCTGCTGTCACAACTAACTCATGTCCTGGCCCACGAGCTTCTGCAAGTAGTCTCTAGCTGTGGGCGTTAAAGTCCACGGGGTTGATTAGTACTGGTACACATCTCTTTCTTGTACTGGAACTTGATTTGGTTCTGGGTTTCGATCGTCTCCTGCGTCTCAACTGCCACGAGCACGAGCACTCTCTCCTTCTTCTGCTCGTTCTTCTCTTGGACTTCTCAACTTCCTCTTAGATCTCCTTCTCAAAGTAGAAGCTGCGAAATCTGCTTCTGCTTTTTCTTTTTCTCTTTCATGTGAAGCCATTTGCTGAACTCATTCGAAGTTGATCTTCTCGATCATCTTGTCCTGTTCTCTGGGGAAATCTTGTTGATCCAACTGGTCGATATTCACTTTTCTGGTTCTGTCTCTGATGCATCAAGCAATCTGCCAGTCTCGAACGCCGCCAATCTGTCCATGTCGATCATGTTGCTCAATGCGGTTCTTTCGCACGCGAAGTTCATTGAAGATGATTTTGAACTGTCAACTCTATCTCTTGCTGAATGATGTCTCCAAAGCCTGTAAATGGACACTGCGCCACCAAACGTCACAAACACCGTCACCGTCCACGATGCAATCACTGCTGATTGGTTCTCTGCTGCCTCACATCCTTTCAAGGCTACTGCCGTCATCAACTGAACCATCTTATTGCCCAATTCCAACCTTGTTGCACAAATACTCTCGCCGTCCTCGAAATCGAGGTTTGGTGTTCAGATCTGCTGGATTGCGCTGTGTTGACATTCGACCAACATCGTACCAGTTTCTGCACTTGCCCATCTGGCCACAAAGCATGTGTGTAGCCAAATGTTTCACTCTTCCACGGCCTAATCTCCCATAGAATGCCTACGCACTTGTAGAGTCAAGGTACAACTTCACGCGCACCTTTGGATTGCACTCAAGGCCACTGTCTTTCACCAAGAAATGGATGCTTTGTTTGATCTGAATTCCTTCTGAAACTAGGTCTCTATTGGCTAAGATCTCTAGCATGAGAAACTGATGTCTGTGCTCTGCAAACAACCAAACATGGATGACGTCGACCTCCTGCCCAATCACTGTCACTGAACATTTCAAACTCATACGGCTTGAGCTGCATGTTGGGCTCACCATCGTAACGCCATCGGCCAAAAACAAAACTCCTCAAACTTGCTCTGGGGTAATGCAGTTTTATGTCTCTTATCGCCGAGTAAGGCGCCAGTTTCTTCAACGCCGAGAACGCGATCGACGCAGGTCTCCACATAAGAACTTCAACTGAATGTTTGCTCCTGGGAAATACAGACGCAAACTCCAAGTCAACTCCTGAAGGTCAACCTATTTCTCACCCAAGTACTCCTCATCCATGGCGTTGTCCTTTTCGTAGACCTCCAACCCATGATGTGACGGGGTAGACTTGCCCCGCCTCCCCTCAAGAAGTAGAAGTTCTAGAAGAAGGGGCCACTGGGTGATGTACAGTCCATCATCTGCGAATTCGATCTGCCTCTTGAGGTAGCGCAAAACTCCATTCTCTTCACCACCAAGGCTTCCTTCAACTTTAAGCGTCAAATTCTCGCCCTTCAATTAGTCATAGAACTCTTGGTGTCATCTTTCGATCCAACCAACAACACGTCCTTGACCGGGTAAGCACCTTGCGAAGCATCAATGTTCTAGCTCGGGCTGTTTCAATCCCAACCCAATCAAGAACTGCAATTATCGCAAGTTCACGTTGGTCTACCTTGAGACATGCATTGCTGATGTGAAGCACTGCCCTAGCAGTGTTTTGATTGGCGCCGAAGGAGTCGTAGGCCGTAATCTTGAACTCACGCCACCATTCTTGATCATCGAAGCCCTCAGCCGGGATCTCCTCCGAAGCGCCAATCTTTCACAACTCTGGCGCCGAGGAACAACGCTTTCGAAGTGTTTTCCTCCTGCTTGAGATACCGGATGACTGAAAATTATTTCAATCTTTCCAGCTCCTCCAACAAAAGCAATCTGACCCAAGGCGTCCAATTTCTCTGGCGTCAACTCTTTCTTCTGAAAGTTGTTTGATCTGGCTGGCCCATGACGTCCGTTCTTCCGACGCCAACTCCTCGTCATCAACTTGGAACTCATAGTCAGAAACCTCATCCTCATAGCGCAGCTCAAAGTCAGCGATCTTGGTCACCTTTCTCGCCTCATCTCGCTTCTGCACTGTTTTCTCTTTTGGTTCTTCTGAAGCTCTTTCCTTCTTATCTTCCTTACCCGCTCCACCTTGAGCATCTGGATGTAGCATGGGCATTGGTGTAGCCGGTTGTTCTGCCACTTTCACTTGGTCACTTGCTTATGCACGCTCTTTCTCAAGTCCCATAGGGGTCATTCCACACTTCTATTCTCACTGCCTTGTTCTTGGTGATCTTGCGGCTACCCACCACCACAAAGTCATGGTCACTCGCATCTTCGCCAATCCATGCTCCCGTTCTCCACTTACTTCTTCTGGATGGGGTCAATGGCAAACTTCTTGTCCCCAGGGGGCTTTGAAGACTCTGGAAAGTTGTCACCCAGGACTCCTGCAGGTGGTACTGCCTGTATGGAATCGATTCAACAGCCAAGCACCGTGAAGCAAACTCCACCTATGTAGTACACGTTCACCAGGAATCTTGCACCTCAACTTGTCCGCCAAGGATGCAATGAGTGTTTTATGTTGGTTTCTCACCGTCTCCACCATTCTTTCTGCCAATCATGTCCGTCCTTTGTCATAGTACTTGCCGGGTTGCAACGTAGTCTCCATGCCACCAGTTCTCCTGGTGGTCTGCCCCACGCAAGCCGCCCCTTGTAGAACTGGCTCATTGTCAAACGCAAGCTCGACCTTCTCAAAGTAGCCAAGCTAGTCAAGCAAGTTCGCCATCAGCTCTCCAAGTACACCTAGGTTTTGATTCCTTAAAGGCTCAACCTGAACCCATCTACATGTCTACCATCACGTAAACAATCTCCTTGTCCTCCAGCTGAAAAGAAACGATCATATTGAATCGTTGGAAGATCCGTTGCGCACTTTCTTCAGTCTTCTGAGGAACTTTCTTGCCTCCTTGCGCCCTTCCTGCTACGCAATGAGGACACCACGACTTGTAGGGTAGATGTGTAACTTCATGTAGCGCGCGTTCTCGGTCTGAAGGTTGTTTTGGTGCGTCACAGACACGCGGCGAAGGCATCGTTTGTAGAAATTGTTCATGCGCCACTTCAACTGATCCGCTCCGCCAGGCTTCCAAGCATGTCTCCTTCGAGCGTTAGAAAACTCGCCGAGGAACTCACCTTCAAGAAAGTAGCAGCCGCTCTCAAATCCTTGACAGAACTATGCTCAGTCAGGACCATGTCACCAATCTCCAATCTCTTGTCTTCTCCAGGAAATGCAATCAGCTCTGGCAACTGCATGATCTGGAATGTCTTCAACTCTGACGTCTTTTCCCATTTCTTCCGGCTCGTCTGGTTCACAGACACGTTCAATGATTTCACCTCCAGTGTCTAAGAAGGTTGCTTAAAAACATGGTTGTCAAGGTCAAACACTGTCCTCCCTGGCCATAGCTGTCGATGTCAGGAACGCTGCAAAAGGCTTGTTCAAGATTTAAATGTCAACTCGAGGCTTCAACCAAGCACCATTCATCGGTGTCCTCCTCAAGCACTCTCTTGATGAAAGTTGTCCTGTTGGTCTAGGATCAACGAACCCAACGCCAAGTGTTTTTTCATGAAAGCCTTGTCATCCAGGATGTCCCAAACACCATAGAGTCTGTCATTCTTGTACTTCTCACGGACTTTCACTACTGCGCGAATTGTGAAGGGGTTTTCGTCATCAACTGCTTCAATCCTTTGCAATGGCCAAAGAGTTGCGCTCGTCTATCACGGGAACCTGAAGTGAAGGTTTTCAGGTACACGTCCTGGCCGCCAGCTGCAGTTCCATCACGATCTGTCACAATCAACGATGCCTTTCTCGTTCTATGCGCTGCAAGTTGTCCACCTTGGCAATCTTGTAGATGTAGTTGTTCACCTCTTTCGTCCACATGTTCTCCGACTGCCAAGGGTAGAAGAGACACGTCTGATTCCAAGATCCCCACATGAGGGTTCTCACTCCGATACAA